CAGTGCTTGCGTAAGATGAGGCATGCCTTCATTTGTAAATGCAAAACACATACATTCTCCTGTGTCAAAAATCAAGCCTAATAATTATGCCAAATCATCTTATCAATCCACTCACAAATTAGAAGACAACAGATATGAAAAAGTTAAGTTGGTGTGCATGCCACAAAATTAAATTTAAACTCAGGTTCCATATTCAGGACACAATTCACTCATTAAACTTGAGATATATTACCTTTCAGTCTATGAAAGCAATTTGTCTCCATATAGGGCCATCTGGGAGGGAGCGGGGGTGGTGGGGGGCAGTGAGGGTTGGTGGTTCAAAATGTAAAACCCCAATGAGAAAGGAATAGGAAATTCACATAGTAGCTCAAATTCTCCAGGACGAAAACCACAGAATCCTAGAGCTATAAGGATTCCTACAAGTCTCACCCAATCCAGCCTTCCTCCCTCCATGCAGACTCGCCCACTATAGTCAACCACAGAATCAGCCAACACCAACTTAAATGCTACTGGTGGCAAAAAAAACCAACTCACTGCTTTCCAAGGCAGCCTATTCCTAAATAAATAAGGAACTATGGAGTGAAGCAAGGCTTAATGAAAACAGCTCTGAGTACGATGAGAGGACCTAGATTCTAATACTCACTCATCTCCCATTTCTCACCTTTTCTGCCTATAAACTAAGCAGGTCAGACTCTGACCTCTACTGTCACTCAGACTGTCAGTACTCTCAGACTGACTTATCCTCAGAGACTGCTATCCCGCACCTCAAGGAGTTTACTGTTTTAATTGCATTTCTCTGAGAGTTTAACCCGATCTGCAAGTAAAGGGAAAAAGTCCTACCATGACAGGTAAATGTTGAAGTTGAGCAAGTAGAATATTTCCATGTATTTTAAATGGATGAACACAAGGCGATGTGGCTGGGAAACGAACCTGAATTTGACAAGGGAAAGATGATCTAGGCCTATTTATTTCAATTACTTCATTTGTGAACAGGTCTCCTGCACTTACAACTACATTATATTGACCAAATAGATTGTTCTCAGCACCCACACTTGGTAATGCACTTCTCAATGCCTCACCTGCCAGAACTCAAGAGGCTTAACCAAATGATCTTTTGAAGTTTCATCCAGCAATAAGTTCTGTGATTCTGTTTGTAACACTTGATGACCAATGCCCGTAATGATTACAGGAAGCCCCACAATCTCTACCATCCATTTCTGAGCCATGACAGTAGGCAAGTGGCCAAAAGGAAGAAGGGCGGGGCCAAACCGGTGGTCAAGTCAGCCTCTGAGCACAGCATGGGGGCTCCTGACTGCCTTCCAAAGCCAAATAGAAATAATATCCATTGGTCAGCCACAGTTCTTTCCCCTTTCCACTTGCTGTAAAAAATTAAACTGATTGCAAAGTCTGTGCTCAGATATGCAGCTGGTAAACTGATTTCAACAGAAAAATGGATTCAGGATGGTCAAAGCATCTGACCATTAAATTGCATGATTGTTGCACAGAAGGCATTCACTAAGGAATTTTTACCACAAAGTCATTAACGTCAAGAACAAACAGCATAAAGACTCCCAAAGGCTAAAAGTCTTACATTACTAAATGGTGCTGGTTGAAAAATGACTGGCCGCAAGTGGCCCAGGCTGTGCCAAGGGGACCATCCCTACCCCCAGAGTGGCTGCCAAAGACATCTCTGGAAGCAGTGCTCTTTGTTTGCTCTGCATAAGAACCCAGCATATAAACTGAATTATTATCATCATTATCAAAGCAATGATACTAATTCCAATCACCCTAATCTAAAATGTTAGCTATTTTAATACTCAAAAACTTTGTTCTGTGCTGGGCTTTAGATGTTATTATTTAAAGATCACCACTGTACCCTCTTTTTGCTCTGAAGGTCTTTCATCAAACTTTGACCAAAACCACAATAAAACTCAAACATTAACAACTCCATCTCTAATCCTTTTCCAATCAAAATGTTAAGATTTTTTTTAAAGAAAAAGTTATAATGCACATCACAAATGTTGGCTTGTTTCCCAAATTAATGCCTTGATATTTAAGCAATCAGCAAGCATTATTTTTGTCATTCAACAAAACAATAATAGTTTGCATCCCATTTTTTAAAGATATAAATTGATGAACATAGCACAGAAATGGATTACAAGAACAGAGATGTCAAGCTATTTGCCTGCATTGATAGGATTATAGTGATTTTTTTTAAGTCTATTTATTTTTAAGAGAGAGAGAAAGCATGAGTGGAGGAGGGGCAGAGAGAGAGGGAGAGAGAATCCCAAGCAGACTCCACACTACCAGCGTGAAGCCTGATGTGGGGCTCAAACCCACAAACTGTGAGATCATGACCTGAGGTGATGCTGGATGCTTAACCAACGGAGCCACCCCGGTGCCCCGGGACTATAGTGATTTATAATGTTCTTTCTCTTATTTGTAGTTTTCTGTGCTTCCTGTAATGAGCATGTGTTGCTTTGGGGGGAGGGGAGGAAGAATAAGAGAAACTTCATTTAGGAAATAAATGAATTTGGAATTGTTTCTGCAGCATAGAGGCCTGGCATTCACTCTCCCTCAGGGACGCAGACTTTCTCTAAAGGTCCATTTTGGTGGGGGAGAGGGGAAAGTGGGTGATGGGCATGGAAGAGGGCACTTGTTTGGGATGAGCACTGGGTGTTGTATAGAAACCAATCTGACAATAAATTATATTTAAAAAAATAAATAATAATAATAATAATATTAATAATAAAGGTCCATTTCCCTCCAGGGGGAGCATCTCAGATGAGTAGCGAAGTCCCTGCAGAAATATCCTAGGTCCCAGCCTTGCAAGGTAACCATGATACCACCTTACAAGTTCTGGCAAATTTAAAGGTTAAAATAAAACATTAATTCAAAGGTCATTTAGTCTAATATTTGCAATAAATTCTTGAGATATGTCCTTTCAAGATTTTAATACCTTTCTTCTCTGCAGATTCTCATTGTTTATTTGTGCAAGAAGAATTAAGATTATTTCAAAGTCTCATCTACCAGAATTAACAATTCACATATATACGTATATATGTATGTACATATATATGTATATACACATATATATGTATGTAGTAATCTCTATGCCCAACCTGGGGCTCAAACTCACAACCCTGAGATCAAGAGTCATATGCTCTACTGACTGAGCCAGCCAAGCACCCTCACTCATATTTGAGAATCTATAAATATGTTAGAATATATTATCTCCTCTAATGTAACATAGGTCTACTCTGAACCACAGCTTATATCGACAACTTCAGTTTGGCCAGTGGTTCAGAACACATGTGTGAGAAGCAGCCACACTAAGATTCTAATCCTGCCTTTACCCTTACCTGCTATGTGACCTTGCAAAAGAAGCAGGATAGCCCTGACCTCAGCTTTATGCAGGGGAAATGAAGATTATAAATACCCACCTCACAAAGGTTTAGGGCAGATTTCATCAAAGGAATTCCTAAGAGAGTTGCCTGACACATTGGGGGCTCTAAAAAAATTGCAGATGTTATTAATCCCTGCTGGTAGCAGTGACGTCTTGGATTTGCTTAGTGACTCATACTCGTCAAGGCACTTTCAGATCTTCTACCTCATTTGATCTTCAGGAAGCTCTATCAGTACAAAAAGCGGTAATTACTGTCCCCATGTTTCTTTTCTTTGGTCTTTTTTGTAAACAGATGAGGAAACTGAGGCCCAAGGTTACCGAGCTCAGAGACCAGATCCAGGCTCTTCGTGATCAGTGACAGAGATTCACAACTAAACTTCAAAAGACTTCAGGTGCCATGCCTGAATATAATAAAATTAAGTGTCTTTTAAAACACTCTGCTATTTATACCTGAATCAAATCCAACTGGTATTTCCACACCACGCCAAATTATTTTAGGCTTTAGGTAAAAATAGGAACTCAGGGTTATTTGGACCTTACTGTGTATCTCAGGCTCTGGACTAAGTGCTTCACACCCACCGCCACAATTAAACCCCATGACAGCCCCTATGAGGTAGGCACTGACACTGCCCCCACTTTATAAATGGGGAAACTGAGGTATGACTAAGTCCAGGATTCAGATGGAGACAGATTGTCTCCAACCTCCTGCTCTTAGGACTCTGATATTACCCAAATCTCATCTGTCTGAGCACACATTTTGAAGGTTTGTAACGTTCCCTTTTACATAGGAGAAAACCAAGGCTCCAAGATGTTAAGGGATGTGTCTAAAATTACTGGGCCCTCTTCTGGTGCAGCAAGGGCACAACCCAGCGCTCCCTGACTCCGAACCTATTCCCCTCCGAAAGTCTCAGATTCCTTTGCATACATTTTAAGAGTGGGATTGTGGGAGAAGTCCTGTCATTCTTGGAAAGCAACAATCCACTTAAGGGCCTCAGTGTCAACACTGAGAATCGACAGCGTGACCCGTGCTCTGGCCGCTGGAAATGTAGCGGTGTCTCCAGAGCCGGGCTTTGGGCGTTCCTGTTACCAAGTCGGAAGTGGGAGGTGAAATTGTTTGCAGAGCAGACCCTTGGGGAAGTGCCAGCACTGTGTTCCATATCCCACCCCCAATCTCCTCCTCCCAGGTCTCCGATGGGGTGGAACCCGAGATTCAGCTGAGCCTCAGGACTAGGGCGAGTGTGAGGGTCTCCGCATTGATCCCAACCCCAAGCCCTTGACTCCGTCCCCTGCCACCGGGACCCGCCTAGCGGGGCGGGTCCTACAAGCGCAGTTTCAAAAACTGCCGCTGGCCGGGATCTCAACACAGTCCTTGGGGAGGGACCTGGAAGCCCCAGACCCACGTCTCTCTTACCCCGGCACGCCACGCGCCCTCGGTTTCCCTCACTTCGAAAGGGGTGCACTTCACACAAGATGGTAACAGGCACACCCCAGACCTACACGATTTCCAGGGGGCAGAACGCGCCCTCCGCGCCTGGATTTCTCCCATCCACCCCCATCCCTCGGAACCCCCGGGCTGCGGTGACAGCGCCCCTACCTGCGCAGTGGCGTCCGCCGCCACCGGCCGGGGCGCCTTGGGGTCCCCCGCCCAGCATGCACCCCACAGGCTCCTCCAGCTTCTCGGCCGTGGGAAGGCTCCGTGCGCCCCGAGGCCCGCGGAGGGGGAAGCGACAGCAAGCTGGACGGGAAGTGGGGAGGGGGGCGACGAGGAAGGGGGAGGCTCCTTCCTTCTCCGCGAGGCGGCCGCTTTCCTTTCCAGCCTCGGCCCCTTACACACTCAGACGCGCGCTCGCGCGCGCAGGCACACACACACACACACACACACACACACACACACACACACACCCTCACTCCCCGCGCGCCTGGGGCGGGCGGCGCACAGCCTGCCTCCGGGACCTCTGAAAGTTTGCCGCTCGCTCTCTCACCCATTTCTGGGAGAACCCGAGAGGGGAAGTGCGGGGAGGGGAACGGGTGTACTAGAAAGGAGACTGGCAGCCCTCTGGGTGGGGGAGGAGGGAGTCTGCCTCCCAGACGCGCGATTAGGGAAGTGACCAAAGGGTTGATGGAAGGCATAGAGGGGATGTGAGGGTGGGGAGAAGGTTGGAAGAGGTCAGGTCACACTGGCAAAGAGATGCGAGAGCAGTTGCTCAAAAATGAAATGTGAATCCAACTTTCTGAATCTTGTGGCAGTGGTGGACTGGTCCCAGAGCCCCTCCCCAGGCTGGGCAGCCGGCGCAGGAGGAAGGCTAGGGTCCATGTGGAGCTTCTAGGCCCCCTGACGGACCTTCACCCCTTCTGTTTGGTTCATTAAAGGAGGCTGCTGGGGCACCTTCCCCATCCCTACCCCGTCTAGCACCTGCCAGAAATGGTTCTTATCCTTAAGGAGCTGACCTCCAGTTGGGAACATAAACACGTGCATATAAAACTAAATAACATACATATGCCAAGAGCCAGAGGCTTGGCATAAAAAAAAAAAAAAACTGTTGCAGAATTTGGGGGGTAAGAAAGTGTGAAGAAGTGTCAGGAAGAATTTCTAGTGGAAAGGGAAGATCGCAGAATTTTAGGGCCAAGGTGTTTCAAAAGATAAGACCCTTGTGGGTGCAAACACATAGATGTGCTTTGAAAGTTGGGGTGTCTGGGGACAGAATGAATACAAGCATGGATATTAAGGATGTGGGGAAATGGTGAAAGGGACATAAAGTTGGATCAGGCTGAATTTAATGATACAGACCACTAGGCAGAGATCTGGATTCAATGATTTAGTCTGAGAGATTAGAAAAGAGCTCTCACAGTTTGTTTGGTCCGTTGGCTGAAACATGGACCAAGAGACGACCTACACTAAATGCTAAGGGCAGCAATGCCAGATTTGTCCTGGTACACGGTAAAGGAAGCATCCATCAGCTCAGGGAGACTGGACTATTAGAGTGAAATTATCATGTAAGACCTGCTTGCTCACTCTGGGAGGGTCCTGAGATCACACCTTTCACTAGGGCTCTGATAAATAGCTTTGTGACCCAGCATCCTTCTCTGTAGGCCAGAAATTACGGTGGCAGCTGCAGCCACTGTACTGGGATCCTTCAATGCAATGGGGCTAACTGGATCCCGGGGCAGCAGGGGCCACTGGTGGCAATGGATCACCAAAGGTAAGGTGGATGTGGTCAGTCATGGTGTTCCTAGAGGTCAAATAGATGGCAGGTCTATTAAATTCTTCCTTGATCTGTATAAGCAGAAAAGTTCTAGGTCAAGTGAACGAATGCTTAACTTGGTTTCAAGTTAAAACACAGAGACTGAGGCCTTCCATCAGTTCCCAGACTTGAGTCAGTGTACAGACCCAGAACTCCTCGAATGAAGGAGGAAGACCTGCCAAACTGCCCAAAATCTGTCCTGTTCATCTTTCCTCTGGCCTTCCCCCAAAGGGACACATGGCCTTTCACCAGAGTGATTCTGCACTGGGGGAAAGGAAATCATCAGACCTCTCAGGAGTGACTGGACACTGGCTCTGCCCTGACACTGATTCCAGGAAGCCCAAAACATCACTGTGTTCCGCCAGCTCCACAAGGTTTATGGAGGCCAGGTGACCAGTTTTAGCTCAGGTCCTCTCACAGTGGGTATCCAGTTCCAGAATGCGTAATTGGAATAGACATACTCAGCAGTGGACAGAGTCCCCGCTGTGGTTCCCTGGCCTGTGCAGTGAGGGCTCTAGCGGTAGGAAAGGCCAAGCGGAAGCTGCTACAACTGCCTCTGTCTAGGAAAAGTCAACCAAAGCAATACTGCATTGCAAGAGGGACTGCAGAAATTAGTGCCGCCATCAAGGACTGGAAGGAGGCATGGTGGTCATTCCCACCACACCCCATTCAACTTGCCCATGTGGCCTGGGCAGAAGACAGATGGATCTCAGAGAATGACCGTGGATTATCATAAATTAACCAGATGGTGATTCCAACTGCAGCTGCTGTGCCAGATGTAGTCTCATTGTCTGAGCAAATTAACACATTCCCCTAGTACCTGGTATGCAGCTGTTGATCTGGCAGGTATTTTTTCTCCATATCTGTGAGTAAAGACCACCAGAAGCAGCTTTCTCTCAGCTGGCCATACACCTCCTTGTCCCATCTCAGGGGTATGTCAACTCTCCAGCCCTACGTCATACGTTAGTCAAGCAGGGACCTATCGCCTTTCCCTTCCACAAGACTTCATGCTGGTCCATTACGTGGATGACATTATGCCGACTGGGCCTCGTGAATGGGAAATAATAACTTTAGACTTATTGGGGAGACATTTGCACGTCAGACAGTGGGGAAAAAAATCTGACAAAAATTTAGGGGCCTTCCATCTCTGTGGATTTTCTAGAGGTCCACTGGCAGGGGGCATCCCTTCTAAGGATATGTGTATTTGGCCCTTCCTACAACAACAACAGCAACAACAAAAAGGCACAACACCTAACGGTCTTCTTTGGGTTTTGGAAGCAACCTACTCATTTGAGTGTGCTCCTCAAGCCCATTTGCCAAGTGACCTGAAATGTTGCTACTTTTGAGTGGAGCTCAGAACAAAAGAAGGCTCCGCAACAGGTCCAGGCTGACATGCAAGCTGCTTTGCCTCTTGGGCCAAATGATCCAGCAGATTCAATGATGCCTGAAGTGTCAGTGGTGATAAGAGAAGCTTATGGAGGATTTGTCAGGCCCCCATCCGTGAATAACATCACAGACCTTTAAGATTTTGAAGAAAAGCCCTGCCATCCACCTGGATAACTATTTTCATTTTGAGAAACAACTTCTGACTCACTCCTGGGCCTTAATAGAGACTTAGCATTTAACCATGGGCCACCACATTACCATGCAACCTGAGCTACCCATCGTGAGCTAAGTGTGGTCTGACCTATAAGCCATAAGTTGGGCATGCACAGTAGCACTCCATCATCAAATGGAAGGGGTATCTACGACACTGGGCTCAAGCAGACACCGAAGGCACAAGTGAGTACATGAGGAAGTGGCCCAAATGCCCAAGGGGCCCACTCCTGCTACATAACCTTCTCTCTCCCACCCTGTACCTGTGGCCTCATGGAGAGTTCCCAGTGATCAGTGGACTGAGAAAGAGAAAGCTCAGACCTGGTTTACAGATGGTCCTGCACATTATTCAGGCGCTACCCAAAAGTAGACAGCTACAACACTACAGCTCCTTTCTGGAACATCCCTGAAAGACAGCAGTAAAGAAAAATCTTTCCAGTGGGCAGAACTCTGAGCAATGAACCTTGCTGTTCAGTTTGCTTGAAAGGAGAAATGGCCAGAGGTATAAGTGTATGCCAATTCATGGACTGTGGCCAATGGTTTCAATGGCCAGAGATTTGAAAGGGACATGACTGGAAAGTTGGTGACAAGAAGATCTAAGGAAGAGGTATGTGGACAGAACTCTCTGAGTGGGCAAAAAAAACTTGAAGGTATTTGTGTCCCATGTGAATGTTCACCAAAGGATGATCTCAGCAGAGGAGGATTTCAATCATCAAGCAGACAGAATGACCCATTCTGTGGGTACCAGTCAGCCTCTTTCCCCAGACACTCCTCACATTGCCCATTGTGCTCATGAATGAAATGCCCGTGGTAGCAGGGATGGAAGTTATGCACGGGCTCAGCAATATAGACTTCCACTCATCAAGGCCAAGCTCACTATGGCCACTGCTGAGTGCCCAGTCAGCCAGAGGCAAACGATATGGCACCATTCCCCAGGGTGATCAGCCAGTTTGCTACGTGGTGGCAATCGATTACATTGGACCTCTTCCACCATGGAAGAGGCAGCATTTCATTCTTACTGGAACAGATACTTACACTGAATGCAGATTTCCCTTTCCTGCTTCTGCCAGAACTACTATCAGAATACCTTACCCACACAGCATTACTTCTGATCAAGGAGCTCACTTCACAGCAAATGAAGCACAGTAATGGACCCATGCTCACCAAATTCACTGGTCTTACCATTTTCCTTATCATCCTGAAGTAGCTGGCTTGATAGATAATGGAATAGCCTTTCGAAGACAGCTACAGTGCCAGCTCAGTGGCAATAACTTGCAGGACTGGGGCAAGGTTCTGCATGAGCCTCTCTGTATGTACGCTGATTCAATGTCCAATTTATGGTACTGTTTCTCCCACAGCAGGATTCATGGGTCCAGGAATCAAGAGATGGATATGGGAATGGAACGTCTCATTTTTAGCTCTAACGGTCCACTAGAAAAAAGTTTTGTTTCCTGTTCCTACAACATTAAGCTCTGCTGGCCTAGAGGCATTCCAAAGGAAGGAATGCTTCCACCAAGAGACACAACAATTCCATTTAACTGGAAGTTAAGACAGCCACCTGGAAACTTTGGGCTCCTCATGTCTCTGAATCAATAGGCAAAGAAGGGAGGTACAGTGCTGGCTAGGCTCATTGATCCTGATTACCAAGGGGACACTGGACTGTTACTCCACAGTGGAGGTAAGGTAGGCCATGTCTGGAATACAGGAGATCCCTTAGGGCATCTTCTAATATCACCATGCCCTGTGATTAAGGTCAATGCAAAACTGTAACAACCCAATTCAGGCAAGGCTGCCAATGGCCAAGACTCTCCTAAGAATGAAAGTTTAAGTGACCCCACCAGGCAAAGAACCATGACCAGCTGAGATGTTTTCTAAAGGCAAAGAGACAGGGTAGTTTAAGAAGGTAGTTACAAACACCAGCTATGACCAGTTGCAGAACCAAGGCCTGTAATTGTCATGAGAATCTCTTCCTTATTTTGTAATGACTTTATTTTTTTTTGTTATTTGTTGGGAAATAATCAATTTAATCTACATAAGCATAATTCATACACAAATTTCTTTTTTTTTAATGTTTAATTATTTGGGGGGGAGGGCCAGAGAGAGAGAGACAGAGGATCTGAAGCAGGCTCCACGCTGACA